GTAACTAATACTAAACCTGTCTCAACCTTAATAAACATTAGTAATACAAATCAATTTGAAGATGATTTAGACAATAATGAAGATACAGTTATTAGGGAGAAGGACATGGGTCAGAGTAGTCTTTTAAAAAACTCAGAAATCCTGTCTAATTTAAATGTAAAATTCAAACATTTATCAAATGAGAAAAGAAAAAACATTCATGGTTTGGTCAATGATTTTCGAAATCTTTTCCTGATGTTCCTAGAAAAACAACGGTTGCAGTACATGATGTTTTAGTTGGAGATGAAAAACCCATCAAACAACATTTTTACCGGGTAAATCCAATCAAGCTTCAGCAGTTGAGAGCAGAGATTAAATATATGCTGGACAATGACATAATTGAACCAAGCAACAGTCAGTGGAGTTCTCTTTGTATTCTTGTACCAAAACCTGATGGCACTTACAGACTTGTAACAGATTTTCGAAAAGTAAATGCAATAACCAAAAGTGACTCTTTTCCAATTCCTAGAATTGATGATTGTATTGACAACATTGGCAAGGCGAAATATGTCAGTAAATTTGATTTAATGAAAGGTTATTGGCAAGTACCATTAACTGACAACGCCAAAGAAATTTCAGCATTTGTGACTCCGGATGGTTTATACCAATATAAGGTTATGGCGTTTGGGATGAAAAATGCGCCGACAACCTTGCAAAGGATGATGCATTCCCTTCTACACAAAATTCAGGGATGTGAGGTCTACATAGATGATGTAATTGTGTACAGCATGACTTGGGACGAACATATACACATCTTCAAACAATTTTTTCTTAAGCTGGAAGAAGCAAACCTATGTGTGAACCTAAACAAGAGCGAATTCTGTCATGCAAAAATAAATTATTTGGGTCATACTGTTGGTCAGGGACAGGTGAAGCCTATCACAGCAAAAGTGGATGCTATCTTAAAGTATCCTATCCCAACTAACAAAAAACAGCTAATGAGATTTCTCGGTATGGCAGGATTCTACAGAAAATTTTGTAAAAATCAATAGTAAGTCCTCTCACCAACCTCCTTAAAAGGAAGTAAAATACAAGTGGAGTGAAACCTGTAATAAGGCTTTCAACAGAATCAAGTCGACTCTGATTGGTGGCCCAGCTCTTGCAACTCCAGTTTTTTCAAAACAATTTAAACTGCAAATCGATGCCAGTGATGTCGGTATGGGTGGTATCTTAATCCAAGAAGATGATGAAGGCGTCGATAGAGCCATTGGATTTTTCTCAAAAAAGTTCAACACCTACCAGAAAAACTATTCTACTATTGAAAAGGAATGCTTGGCGGTTTTATCAGCACTACAACATTTTGACTTTTACCTCAATGTTACTGTTCATCCTGTTCTGATTTATACTGACCATAATCCATTAACTTTCCTTCAAAAGATGACTAACAAAAATCAAAGACTTACAAGATGGAGTCTTCTCCTGCAAGAATATGATATTATTATAAAACACATTAAAGGAAGGAACAATGTTATTGCAGAGGCTTTATCTAGAGCATAACTTAAAAAAAAAAATATTGATATTATGACTTATTTCTTGACAAAAAAAAATATAGACTGATATTGTCTTATAAAAGTTTTTCATTCTAATTTCAAAACTTTTACTTTGAAGAGGGGAAGTGTTACGAGGATGCATTTCTATAAGAAGGGATTCCACTGATTTCTACTTGTTATTACAAAAAAGTTTTCTTTCATGAAGTAGTTGTAAAATAGAGAAATTAGAAATAGAATGTTTGGAAGATTCTAGATCATTCTAGTATATTCGAAAAAAATCTAGATGATTCGAGAAACATCTAGAAATATGCAAATTAGGTGTTAGCCCCTATAAAAATGGGATTTTGGAAAAGGGTTGTCAGTTGATGAATGGGAATTTCTGCTGTTATCAACTCCGGCTTTTGATTCAAGGACTATTATATCCAGCCGAAAGAATCTCTATAAAAAGTTGCCGACCAACAAAAACCCAAAAGAGAATTTCATGGAAATTAGTCAAAATTCTATTTACCAAATTTGGTAAATAGAATTTTGACTAATTTTCATTGACCAAACTAAAAATGAATATTTATTTACACACCTTTGTGGATTTCCAAATATAGCACTTAGATTACTTCACTCGCCCTAAAGTGATAAAGATATTTGACTCCCTTTCCTTCTCCCTCGTAACTCTTGCCAGTAACTCTGTGTTTTCTGTTTTGTAGGCCACAATTGTTTATCTTGTATATATTTTATGTTGTGTTTTAGTAAATTAAATATTTGTTTGTGATTTAGCTCTGTGTTGTGGTAAATCTTTTTTTTTCCTTTGTTACAGTTAACAACACGTAACAATCGTAAAAACATTTGGAATCCATCATCCACATACGAATTGTATAGAAAGGCTTGAAATATCACCTTTCAGAATATGTATATATGACATAAATTACAGTCACGTATGAAACGGAATCATATTTAAACGTCACGTATTGTGACTGGGTGGTTCATCATCGTTGAATCCCAGTTTCAGTTAAGATGAACAACTTCGAAGAAAGCAAAAGTGTGACTCAAAGAATCGGTAATATCTTCTTCCGGGAAAACAAAACTGTTAGAAAAACTGATGATAAATATCATGATAACCAGTCGTTTAACAAGTTTTGTTACATATTGCAATTCGTATTGGTGTCAGTGAAAAAATTGCCCTCGACAGCTACCACCCATAATAAGGTCACAAAAGGAGTCCCTGGTAACATAAGTAAGTTAGCAGATGAGCCGATGCCTTTATTAAACAGTCACATCCACTTTTCAGGCCACAAATAAACAAACATGGTGTCGCACGCACTCATAAACATACACACACGCGGGTACAAGCGGCATGCACACGCACACATGTCAACAAAAATGAAACATAGTTCCTCTCGGTTTTAGATGCAAAACCCGTTTTTATTATAGCGATCAAGTCAGAACCTGCAAGCTTTGGTGCAAATGGACCCTGAAAATAGTAACATAAAAATGTTAACAAATATATCCCCATCTCCCCCTACCCACGTTCTGAAAACTAATTAGGCAGGCTGCATTAGCTCTCAGATCAATCACTTTTTGAATTTGCCGCTCGAATAGGAGCAACAAATTTTACCATTATCTATCTTAAATATTATATCGTCTCCATCTCTACTGCTAGTGGAATGAAAAGGCTCTGTATAGGTCAAACAAATCTAGAAATCCGAATACTGTGTATCGCAGATATCACTAATCCGTTATGAGATGTTTAACTTCTATATACTGAATAATAAATGCATTCTGAATAAAGTAATTGAATTTAAATTTAAAGTCAAGTCTGCAACATGTTCCATTAACATTAATCTCTCTACTTTTATTCAGGATTTAATAAATAAATACCCTAATACATCACCCTACAAATCACCTGAAGGGAATTATTTTAGAGTTTGATACGGGAAGCCATACGCCGATTTTGCTAAAACTAGGCAACATCCGAAACAAAAATTACAGGCAAAATCTTTTAAAAAGTCCCAGATTTCCGAAGTAATATTGCCTTCCAAGAGTTACGGGACTTCATATGGAATTGAAACCAAACTGTGCATATCGAACATGTGGCGATTTTCGAGCTGGTAATGTTAATAGTTTTCCAATACTAACAATAAACTCATCCAAATCATTGGACTTGCCTATCACCAAATAAGAACATATCGCAAAACTGTATGTAAAACAGCAGTTGCAACCCCACTGAAAAAAAAAACACCACTACCTAGCTATGTTCATCAATATGAAAACTGATACGTTATAAGGTGGTAGTTATGTACAAATTAGTGCCTGAAATGAAGGTACGATCTCTCAACTGTCAAGACAATTCTTTATCTTTTATGAAACTATTGATTAATGATATTCATTCGACATATATATGCACATTTCTTTGTTTGTTTGTGTGTGTGTGTGTGTGTGTGTGTGTGCGCGCGCGCGATATTAGAATTTGAATAACGCAGGATACGGAAAGAAAGTTGTACAGTTTGTAAAAAGAATCAGTATTTTGTTGCAATTTATAATTCGGATACAGAACATTCAAGAAAAGATGAAGAAATGAGCTTAATACTTTGATAAATCTAAAAAGCATCGAAGCTTATTCAAGACTAGCAGCATGGGCCGGCGTTGCCCGTTCTTGATTCAAAAATCGTACGACTCATACAGCAATCGCTATCACTTGACTTAAAATATTTTTGCCCTTCCTTGCCTTTAAAGGAGTACCCTTTGCCGTGCTGATGTTGCTACATGCCTTACTTCTTGCCTATCTCACACTGCGAATTTTTTCTAAGCTCTATACTAAACATTAAAACTGTTACGAGAAAAGAACTAAACAAAATGAACACAAAACGATCAGATTTAAAAAAGGACTCGTAACTGGAAAAACTGAATGAAAAAAGAATGTTAACAACAAATACTTTTTCACACCCAACCCAGTTCTACGGAATCAGAATCAACGTTGAGTTTAAACAAGCAAATGAGCCAATTGGAGTAAAGTGCCATGCAGATTTATATTTTTCCCACTTATGACGAATGCAGCTACTGATTTTTTTTGCATGCTAGCTATGCTAGTTAACATTCGTGTCAGTCAGCTGTTGACTCTCACGCTGGCCAATAGAATCTTCCTGCCTATTCGTGGCAGCCAGCTATAGGCTCTCACTCTGGCCAGTACAAAATGGCCGCAAACTACATGAAAACTGCCGTAGAAGCATGAAAAAATCGATTATTTCCACTATCGATGGGAGTTGGGAAATGCAAAGTCGGTCTTGGCCTTCCCGCTAACTTGGAGCATGTGCATGTAAATTTTGGTGCAAATCCGTCGAAAATTGCGGCCGTGCACGCACACACACACACATCCTGCCTTTTATAGATATAATAATTTTGCATTCAATACAAACAATTTAATCAGGATAGATCGACATATACTCTTCTGAAATTAAATACGTAGGAGAAGAAACTCACATTTTTTAGAAACTGAGCCATGGAACTATAAGCTTGTCTAATGTTCGCCATAGTTTCATTCGTCAATAATTTCAAATCATTCCTATAAAATAAACAACAAAATGAATGAGAATGAAAACGTTTTAAAATGAAATAATGAAACTTTAAAATAATGATCTTTCATATTCAAAGTATACAATGTGTTTATAAACTTAGAACACAGTAAGACAGGATATGGCTATTTACATAAAAGTTTAGAAATTATTAGTCAACAAATTCTACTATTAGCAGCTCGAAAGTGAACTGGGGCAACGAACGGCTTGTAAATTTTAAAGCCTCCAAAACGAAAATTATATCATAGAGAACTTTTATCACAGAGAACCATTTTTGCCTTCTCTCATCATAGCTGATGTTATACTCCAGGAGAGCATCTTATAGAGTCTCTCGTTTTCCACTTACACGAAGTGGAATTATTATATTGAATTAATTGCTAGGTTCGATGCTAGGAAAGTTGGTCCATTGTGTTGTGGCAGAGAATCTTTCTCGCCAGAATCCATCTGGCACATTTATAAATCTACTATTCGCCCGTGCATTGAATATTGATGCTACATCTGATCTAGTGCTCTTGTTATATATCTCGAGATTCTTGACAAAATCCAATGAAGGGTCTGTAATGTTATTGACATCTCGACCAGTCACTTTTCCACTGCCGTAATGTGGCTTCCCTATGCCTTTTCTATAAATATTTTCTAGCTATTGCTTTAATGATCTTCCCTCCTTCGTATCTCGACCGCATGAATTTAAGCGTAGTACTAGATTGGCAACTAGGTTTCATCGATTTACTATTGAAATATCTAGATGCTACCCTATGTTCTATTCTATTTTTTTTCCTTACGCTTCTCACCTGTGGAACTCTCTTCTGGCTTCTTGTTTCCCTGTCACCTACGATATTCAAAAATTCAAATGCAGCATCAATCGCTATTTTCTGTCTTCTTAATTCCATTTATCTTATTGTCCTATCTCCTAGTTTTCTTTCATTATCATTAACCCCTTGCCTTTCAGTGGCATTATCGACTTGCTTGGGGTTAAATGACTATAAAAAGACATCTAATTTTATTGTCAGACAAAACTTTTAGTCAACAGTCAAACAATTGATAAAGTGTCAACCAATTAAGGTCATACAAGATGGTTTTCGGCCTGACTTAGAAAAGTCCTTAAAATATGATGGTTGGTCTTTTGTTAAGATTTTTAGAAGAAGTCCAGGTCGAGAACTTTTCACTACTGCCTCGTATTTTAAGGCAAAATACATAGAAGTCTGAATATATGCAGAAATTATAAACTTCATTAACCAATAAAAAACTAAGTATAAACTAAGTTCATTTTCATTCTTGCCTTTCAGAAATTTCCAGGAATTATTATATATGACAGCCATTCCATTGTCCCATAAAAATTTAAAAACAATTTCAATAATAAAACTCAAAATTAATAATTACTTGCGATCGCTTGTCACATTCAACTTAGTAATATATTTGCTTAGGTCCTGAACTAAATAAAGTTCACTATTTGGTTTCATCTGGGACAGTTTTAATAGTTTTTCATAAACCGGAATCTGAAATTCATAAAATCCATTATCAATAATATGATTCATACACAAACTGTTTAATATTGAAATAATAACAATTAATCTATTAATAAATAACGCCTTTACAGTAATTTAGAAATTGGGATAAATCCTCAAAAATTTATCAAAAATATTTAAATATTATTTTAATTCACATTTTATTAAAATAAATTGAAAATATGTAATGTGATTCCACACAGATTTCCCGTAAATATTAATTTTAAATTATTTAAATTATTAAGCTTATTACAAAGTGATTTGATACATTTTGCAATGCTTTTTACATTTGGTCTAGGAATATTTCTTTTCTAAGCAAAAAATTTTAAGGACTTAAATATATTTAAATTAATATACTTACTACTGACACATTGTGTTGTATGTGACCATTTTCAATAGCTTTCCGCATCAGTGTCTTATATTCTTCAAGCTGGCAAAACATTAAAATTCAATACAAAGTTTTTTAAAAGACTGCAATATTTTTCATGCAGTGAATAGTTTTCTAAAGATTTATGACTGAGTATTATCATTTTACATATATTTTCAAAGATAGTCATTAACTTTGTTATTTTAACACATTTTGACTGATTTGATGCTCTCAAGTTGCATGCCGTATACAGTCATTACAATAAACATGATGCTTTTTCCATTTCTTCTTTCCATTTCATCAAATAGAATCTTCTAGAAAGTCAAAAGAAACTAAATAAAAAGTTCAACAGGAACGAATAATAATGTTTCCTGTTAGTAGCAATGTGAGAACAAAAGATTTAGATCTGATTTCTAGTTGACACGTCGTAGAAAGGATTCAAGAATTTACAGTCTCATAAAGATCTTTAAACAGATTTGATCGAATGATGCTATTAACATCTATCAGATATATATGGCTGACATCTTCATACTTTGCATCCACTGTATAGAAATCATGGGAATTCTATCAAACCAATGCTATAAATCTTTTGGAGAGCAGAATGTTTAAATCTCTCGCCATTGTAAATTGGATTTCTTCTTTATTCTATCAAAACTTCCTAAATTTATTTCAATCCCTAAATCACAAACTTTTCTTGCACAGCTGTTTAGGGTTAGAATTAGGATTAGGTTTTAGGATTTTAGAATTTTAATTGTTTTAATCGGTAGCATATAAAATTACTATATTAGTTATTTTTTTCTTTAAAAGGACGCTTAAAAGCAATCTATGCATTTTCAATTGTAAAGATAATAATGTCAAGTTTTGCTGCTGTCATATTAAAAATCCATTATTCGTCGTTATTTCTATAACTCTTATAAATTGGTCAAAAGATATATGTGCGTTTTATAAATTTTCTTTAACTAAATTATCAAATGCCTTATTTTATCAAAATGAGTCATTTTTTTCTTGGATTTAAGAAGCTTTACAAAATATACGTTGGTCACTGTTATTAATTTCAAAGCAAAAGAGTAAAAGGAGAGTTTGAGAAGGCGTGAGCATTACTTACCAATCGCTTTATATCACCTATTAACTTTAACAAATTCTGTATACCTTCTTCATTATAATTGGTCTCTGGTGTTACAAGTGATTGTGGCGTGATAACATTTTCTAGAAAGGAAAGTGGATTCAGAGCCCCGTATCTAAAAGAAAGGAAAAGAATAAATGTTGAAAATTTGGACTTTTGGGAAGGAATAATTGCGAATCAAAAGTAGTAAAATTTGCTTTTATTATTCAAATATTGAACGCAATTATATATGAACATATTTTTATGAAAGTCTTAACATTCTTGTAAGAAGGACTTTCACAAGTTTTTCGTTTTTAGACATTTCCTTGTTTCCTGCATTTTCATTTTTGTTTTCCTACTTCTTTCTAAAACTTCGACACTTTTGCGATTCTCCTTTCATCAGTGGCAAACATCTAAATTTAAAAGTGAAGTATAAACGTACTAAAACACTCTTAGTATGATGTGAAGGAAGACGTGCAATGCTACATATAATGATATATCTTTGAACTATGTCTATAGTTCAATGATAAAGCACATAAACACAGCATAAAATAGTATGAGATATTGTTTTTACTAACAAAATTATTTATTTAATTTTATCCACTGCTTCTGATAAGCGAGGTTGCAACAGAAATATTCGATATGAACCTACGAACTAAAGTTAAAAGTCAAAAAGGTAACCCCCTTGAACTTACCGATGGCAAATTTCGGTTGAGATTAAAACAATAATGAAAGTTTTCATGTCAACTCTATTTATGCTGAGCCATCTTCCTGTTGGTATTCTCTTTTCAGCTTATTACTTTCTTCGACAGCGGCGTTGGCAAGTGTTTGAATGCACCATCTAAAGCTAACAAACATCTTACAAATGAGATGGATCTATTTTGGAAGAGATCCTTAAAAGATATCTCACTCAAGCAAGCTTTCACGAGCACAACCTACTTATAATCAACATTATTTAATGTTACTGTATCATGGATATACAATGATATATAAGATTAAACTATCGGCTAACTTTAATCTTTTTATCAAATCACCATTTCAGAAGTATTATGATAATTGGTGTTTAGAAAAAGTTCTGGCACAGGGACCCTAAAGAGGTCGTAAGACCATTATCAAGGTATGAGCGGACAGACACTATGAAGTAGTCGAAATTTAAACGTGTTTTTTTTTCTTCTCGTGGTGCTCAGCTGACTACTATTTTCTCTTTTTTGCCAGTTAAAAGGAATATGTTTATTTTATTTTTATCAAAGGGAAACAATCTCATGATTAACTGTCACAGACATTTCCCAATTAATCATTGTTTCCTAAAAGACACCGTCATACATGAAAATAGTTTTACGGTTTTGTTGAAAGAAATATTCCTGTGTAAATATTGTTGCGGGGCCGATAAGGATGTCGCCCCTGCAAGCTTTATGAAGAAAGGTGTGAACAGCTAAGACAATGAAGGGACAATGGCAAAGGTTTAAGAAACAATAACCTCGATTTTATTTTATCCAAAATGTACAAGACCGTACTCTGGAGAAATATGTTGGTATCAGTGTCGGGTCCGGTATGACTGGTTTTGTTTAGGGGTAGTCGATTTCGGTCGTATCGGCGAAACAGATGTAAAGATGAAAGTTGAAAATCGGCGGTAGCTGGTCGGCTGCCAGACGGGAGAATTGTCAGGAACAGCAGCAGGTTGATATATGTCGCACGAGATTCGTTGTATCGGTTAGGACGAGTCCCTAAACAGGGCCAAGTGAATATAGTGATACGACTTCACAGGGCGGATCGACCGCGGAAGCGGGATCGCGCCGAAGTGTAACACTTGGCGAAGACGGAGTCCCTAAACAGGGCCAAGTCAGAACAGTGATACGGACTTCACAGGGCGGATCGACCGCGGAAACGGGATCACGCCAAAGTGTAACACTTGGCGAAGCTGGCCAGAGAGGTGATACGTCTTCCAAGGCGTTTCGACCACGGAGACGGGATCGCGCCGAAGAGTAACACTCTCGACAAAGCACCGGAAGCTCACAAAGGCAGCGTACTACACTTTGATCCAGGATATTTATTCATACAAAAAGTACAAATTGTAGCACAAGGCCGAAAAGGGGAGAGGTGAAGGCTGGTCAACACTAACTATCTTATACCTAGCTAATCAGATTCACGACCCATTCATACATTACAATTTACTCATTCACCACAATAACTCATCCATCACCGTTCAATCCTCCATCCACCATAATACCACATCATCTCCAGGGGAACCTACAAAAACGCGCCCCACGCCATAAAAATTTGATGAAGATAGACAATATACATAAAATTCTAATAATGATAAAATGAGAGGGGGGGAGATGAACCCAATAATAAACTAAAATCAACAAAAAATGCAAACTAAACATAATTGATGTTAGTAGAGACCGTCCAACCCTCAAAACAGAGGGGCCGCTGTATTCTGTCCAGAGGACAGAATCAAGAGGCGCTCTCGCTAAGGAAGTGGGAAAAGGATAAAATATTATGCGGGAATGGGAAAGTATAACGCTGACCCAGCCGAGATGAAAGGGGACCAAAACAAACTGGGAAGGTTGGGAATCTCGACTTGGATCATAACCAAAGAGCAGCCAGGATACAGGCCAGGACCAACATTTACTCACATTAACTAGGTACACTGAAGCTTTTCTAACCTAACCAAGGGGAGGGTTCCACAGGAAACCACCCCGATGTGCTATAGGTTGACCTAGAAAAGAAAATCAAGGCTAGCCCCGTTCACACGAACCAAGCTCGCCTCTTTTACCCACCTTTCGCTAAAGACTGTCGACTGCAATCGTTTTCTATCAGTTCTAATCTTCATCTTGAGCTGATGCTCAAAGAATCTGATCAGATCCTGATGAGAAAGATGATCACCTCGCAAGACTTCCTCCTTCCGCGTCGTCCAAATCACCATTCGAGCCGTGGCCAGCAGCGTCAGAAACACCATCCGTTTCACCCCGGAATACGGGGGCGACACATTGTCACACGCGTATGCGCAATCAATGAACACAAGCTATTCGGAAGCGAGATGAGCCGTCAGCTCGCCGACATGGTCCCATAAGGGGCGGACCCGGGGCAATGGTAGAAAGCGTGCGAAGCCGTTTCCTCTATACCAAGGACACACCGTTCACAGTCTGGCAAATCCGCCAAGCCCCATATGAAAACCTTGTCGTTGAGAGGCAGCCGATTCCGAGCCAATCGCCAGCTAAGCAAACACTCAGGGTTACTGATGTAATCCGCCGCTGGCGCCCAAGACCAGTAGGAGCGATACTCCTCCTCCGACAAGCCGAGCGTATCTCGTAGGGTATCCTTCGCGGGCCCCTCCACTAATTCACGATAGAAGACCTTCCTAGGCCGAGAAAGGTCACTGGACCGGGGAACGGGCCTCAAGGCCGACCGACACTCGCAAAGGAAAACCGATTGATCCTGGGGTTTACGACGGCGCTCAACCCGCGAGATGGGGGGGGACTGATGGTAAGGCCAGGGAACGCGTCCCTAACAATCCCCTCCAGAATCGGATCTCCCCCAGACAATGCGCGGCGTAGGAAAGCCAACCTAGAGGCACGGATGTGACTCACCAGGTGCGGCATTCCCAGCCCCCCATGACACGGACGTTTAGTGCAGACTCGTCTGTCGACCCGATTACCGCGTCCCCTCCATAAAATGGAGAATAGCGATCGCTCGAGCACCTTCCTGTGGGTCTTACAGAGAGGAAGTACGGACAATCGATAAAGAATCAGGGAGAAAATGTAAGTAGCACACACCTCCGCCCTGCCCTTCACGGACAACCTCCGTGGATTCCAAGTCTGACCGGCAGAATCGACCTTTGCTCGTACTTCAGACCAATTCTTCTCCAGCTGGAGGTCGGGCCCAAACTACATTCCAAGAATGCGGACAGGACCGTCCGTCCAACCGAAGCGGCCCGGAAGAGCGACCCCCTTCCAGGCACCTAACCGCAAGCCGGACGACTTGTCGCGGTTTATCTTGGCCCCTGTCTCCTTCTCGTACCGATCAAGCGCCTTCTGCACCGCCTCAATGTCGCTGCGGAACGATACGAAAGCAGATACGTCATCGGCGTACGCGGAAACCCTGGCTCGAGACCCTCCGGGTACGGCGATTCCACGTAGGGCCGGACTGCACGTCTCGTCCTTCAGCCGGCGAAGGAGAGTCTCCAAGGCCAAAGCATAAAGGAGAGGCGACAGCGGACAACCCTGACGGAGCGACCTAGACAGCACAAAAGCGTCTGACAACCTTCCGTTCACCTGTACCACAGCACTGGGGGAGCGATACAGGAGGCTAATCCAACGGCAGAAGTTGGATTCGAATCCAGCGGCCTGCAGAACAGTAGCAAGGTAGCGATGGTCAACCCTATCAAATGCCTTGGACTGATCCCAATTGATCAGCGCGGCTTCTTCGTCGTCTTTTACACCCTCTATGATCGTGCGGATCAGATGAAGGTTGCTCTGAATTGTTCGGCCCCTCACAGAACAAGTCTGCTTTAAGCATCTTCACCTTTTCAGCTCTATCTAGAGCGAGCCGTTTGCTGAAATCAGTGGTGAAAGACCTAATCCTACACTTAAGTCGCTTCCACCACTTATTCCCGATAACCGCCCCCACTAGCTCCCGCTGCACTAATCTAGTTAGCTGTTCCTGGAAGTCCCGCCTGCCCAGTAAAGACAGATGAACTTCCAGTACCCAGCCATTCTAGGCCTAGTTCCTAACGCCACCCGGGCACAAACGAGTTTGTGGTCCGAATAGCCTACCTAGTGGAACGTGGGACAATCTAAAAGATCTACGTCGGCTCTTTTAACTAACATTCTGTCAAGGTAGCTAACTACCTTGTCACAAGGCCAATTAAGAGCCCACGTCCACATTTTCCGATCGACCCGGTATCTATCGACAAAACCATAATCGTCGATCAGATCAACCAGGCTACGATCGCCCCTTCTCCCGCTAGCTCCCCGCCCCCTGTCTAACTTGGGGTCCAGAATGGCATCCCAGTCCCCCATTAAAACTAGGCGCGTCGAATCCACTAGGAACGGCCCCAACCGCCGAAAAAACGAGACCCGCTCCTCCCGGTCATTGGGCGCATAAACCGCAACGACTCGGAACGAACCACTTTTC